TAACATTGAGTAGATGGAAGACATCCTCTGAGCGATGTTTCTAGGATTCTTCCCATGTTGGCATTTCATATATCATAAATTTACATATACATAGACCTAATCTCATTATACACATTTAGAGATCCTACCCCTGCTGCTGCTCCTGCTGCTTCTTCCTCTCCTTAGCCTCCGCATCCGCCTGCTTCCACGACCCGGCATAATGATGGCTCACCAACGCAGGACTCTGATCGGTGGGGAACCCATTCTGCGCCGCCGCGAACGCATTCCCCGGCATAATCAACAAATCCCCGACCAGTTTCGGAGATTTGATACCGTGGAAATCCCGATCATCCACCACCCTTCCGAGCAGCCCCTTCAACCCATCCAACAGCGCAATGGTCATGATCTTCGGGCCCGTGACATTCACCACATCGACGGGCAACATCTCCAGCGTCAACTGGTCCACGCCCACCCCGTTCAGGGCGGCGATCTCCTTCAACTTGGCGACGACCGCGTCCACCACCGCCGCCAGATTGCGGGACCCCGGCCGCGCCGCGAACACCCAGTTGCAGAACTGCGACGCCACCTCGGTGCCTGCGCCGCGCCACCCGAAGTCGAACTCCAGCCCCACGATCATGTCGATGTTGGAGGTTTGGTACTCCGGGGGCACCCAGGCGGCGACCTCCGTGTCGCAGGTGACGTCGAGATCGCTCCAGATGCCGCCTTCCGCCAGCACGATCAGGTAGCGGAGGAGGTCGGCGCGGAGGATGGGGATGGGGAGCTTTTCGTACACTTCGACGATGTCCGGGCGGGTGGCGCCGTAGCGGGCGCGGACGAAGGTGAGGGCGGAACCGTCCGTCAGGAGCTCGTGGCGGAAGGCGGGGTTCTTGAGGAGCCAGCTGTTGATCCAGCCGATTTGGTCGCCACTCAGCTCGGGGGTCTTGGAGGAGTGCCAGACTTTGTCGGTTATGCCGGCGATGGCGGTGTTGACGGTGTCGGGGTGAGAGCTGGGAAGGGTGGTGGGGGGAGTGGTAGGAAGAGTGGTCGGTTCTGTTTGGCTGTTGGTGCTCTGGTCGTTGTTGTGGTCGTTCTTACTGTTGTTGGCGCTGCTTTGTGGTGACGTAGCATGCTCAGATAACCCTAACGAAGCATCCGGTTTGCTATGACTGAATGGTTGGGGTAATACATCCCAATTCCGAGACACAAGGAAAATCAAGAAAAGGACAGGGACTGTAAGAAGAACCAAACGCAGATATCGAGAAAAAGTCATGTTGACCAGCAAGAGATGAGTGATAGCGGGAGATAAAAGTGAGTAGGCATTTGGAAGAGAAGAGTAAAGTGGGCGACAGACGGAGCAACGTGGGTATGATGTGATATTTGAGAGAGCGAGAGAGACATGGAAACCAGTCAGTCAGGGTCTGGGCTGGATGCCTACGGGCTTACTTAGCACGTGGGCGCTGCTTTAATTAGCCCAGGCGCCAAGCCGTGACAGCTTTAGCCAATATGAGTTTAACCTTACTAGAACTTGTCTCACAGATCAAAGACACTCCCACTCGCTTACATGGTACCCTGGCAAGACAAGACATGGCACTAAAGTTGCACTAACTCTGAGCGCCAATAATACAAGCCTCTAGTTCAGGGCCACTTTAGCTCCAACTTGATTGACCCAATTTGCAGAAATTACTCCCATCCGCGGCGCTGTGATAAGCAAACAACACCATCGCCCTGGTAGGCGCCCGCGCTAAATCACGTGCTTTTATTGCTGTGGTTGTTCCGCTGGAGAACGAAACCCTTGCCCAACACAAGGCTATGGAGACAACGAACATGTGTCTAGGCAAGGATTCTTATCTTTATCATGAGGTGATGTTGACGTTGACGTTGCCAAGGTACAAGAGCGAGGCTCCGGAGCGTAGAGAGGGGGTCGATTTATGCTTTATGCTGTACCAGCCTCGATCGGAATCAGAATCGTGCTCAGACTGACGAGATCGCTGCCATACTCGAGCTTTTTGGGTTGAGGGTGTCAAGCATAATGTACATATCCTTAACATACGTACAAACGGGAAGGTGACTGTAGACATATGTACCCAACGCCTGTATAGCTGTCACAACCACACAGGCTCTCGCCTAGTAAGCAACCTTTCATCGAGCAAAACAAATCAAGTGGAATACTGGTCGTAGAATCCACGTTGGCCAAAGGGAGGCAAGAACACCTTGCTTACCGACCCCATGGCTGAACAAAACCCGCGACAACAAGCTGTGGATCGGGCTAGATCTGTCTGATCGCTGCGGCAAGTGCCGAATCGCGCAGATAGAAGATTGGGAATCAAGACATTTCAAAAGTAGTATAACAGGTTTTACAGGATGTTGTATAATACCATGCCCCATTTTGTGCAGACGATGATAGATGTAGATGGTTGATAATGAGCCTGGAGTAAGAGAATACCTACCTAGTTCAGAATAGAAAGCAGTGGTTCTGGCTGGCTGCGGGGAGGAGAGCAAAGCGGGAGCTCACTGCCTGAGGCAGCAAACAGTGGATCTCCTCATCAAATTTCAGCGGCTTGGCAGGACGGAGTGCCTGATTAGATTTCAAAGCCCGTGTGTTCATGTTCAACCACCAAACCCACCCACCACCCACACATAAAATGGCTATCCCAACCCTCCCAGCCGAACTCATCCGCCACGTCATATTCCAATCCACCCCGCCCAACCAATGGGGCAAGTACTGGCCCTCCACGCGGGCCGTGGACGAGGTCAAGGACTTTCTGGCGCTGAGGCTCGTGTGCAGTAGGTTATCCCCACTCGGTGTAGACCACACCAACGAGCTGAATACTCATGACGGCAGAGGAATTCAACAACATCATCCTGGATTATTTCCTGGATCCGCGGGTTCTGACCGAGAGCTTTGACTCGGCGTGTCTGCAGCGGAGTGACCCGCCCACGCCGCCGGCGATCCGCTTCTGCCGCAAACTGCTGAGCCGGCATTTGGAGCGGAGTCGGGCGGGGCGTCGGGTGAACGAGGTGTCGAGGAGGTTTGCGCAGCGTGTCAATGGGGTTGTGGATGCGGCGGTCGATGCATTACGGGAGGGGGAGGGGGATGGCGATGAGGTTCAGAGGCTGCGCAAGACGTACACGGAGGGCATGGCGGCCGCGGTGGTCGCGTTCGGGGGTCTTACGAAGGCGATGTTTCAGGGGATAGCTGGGACGAAGCCGGAGAGGGAGAGTGTGGAGAAAGACCAGAATGATGATGATGATGGTGATGATGATGATGAGGACGAGGGAGAAGAGGAGGATGATACGGAGTGGGCGTGGAGCGATCCATTGACCATGGCGCTGACGGCGGCGGGGATCCTGTGTCGAGTCGACGACATGAAGGCTCTGATCGCCAAGGGTGCGAGGCCTGAATTTGAAGAAGATGCAGGATGGATTGGGTTGACCCTCCACGGCGCGGCGATCGGCGGCAACCTCGATGCCCTTGGCCTTCTTTGCGAGCACGTTCGGCGCGAGAGTGTAGGCGAGGACGAAACCATGGACGACTGCTTGCACACCGGGAACACGGCGCTGCATTTCGCCGCACAGTACGGTCACTGTGGTGCCGTGCAGTGGTGCTTGAAGGAGGGATTCAAGCCGGACGACAGGAACACGAACGATCAGACGCCGCTCTTCCTTGCTGCGAGTAGCGGGCATGCCGATGTCGTTAAAATACTGCTAGACCTGGACTTTGAGCGGGAGAAGAAGAAGTGGAGGTTGTCAGAGAAAGATAAAGAAAAGGCTATTGCTGCTGCTGCTGCTGATGATGATGATGGCGACGACGATTGGTTCGCGATGCAGCGCGCTATAGTTGACGTCGAAGCGGACGATTACCGCGGACGAACCCCAGTGCTGATGGCCGTACAACGAGGGCACCTGGACGTCGTCGAGGAGCTGATGTGGAAAGGGGATTTGCTGATCAACCGACGGAACCCTGAGGAATACAGGATGACCTACCTAGCGACGGCAGCCTCGAGGGGCCACGAAGCGATCGTCCTCCGCCTCCTTTCGTACCCGGATATCAAGACAGACGTCATAGACAGCAGCGGCCATGGGATTCTAAAACATGCCGCTGTCGGCGGGAACGAGAATATCGTACGGAAGGTCCTGTCATGGCCCAAGGTTGACGTCAACCGGCGCGGCGAGGACGACTCGACCCCGATCATGTGGGCTGCGATACACGGCCACGAGTCCATCGTCCGGCTGCTGATTGAGAATGGCGCAGCCGTGGATCTGGTGACGCACCAGCTGCATCTCCGGCTCTTGAGGTACTTCGGCATTTTAGGCGACCCGGACACCGGCGCAGTCGACAACCGACTGCTGGGAGCAATGACTGGGCAGGTCGCCGTGCTGGTCGGCGCGTCGGCGCTCGACGCCGCGGCACACAACGGCCACGAAGGCACGTTTCGATTGTTGGCGGCTCAGCCGGGCGTCGAGCTGGATCGGCCGGACTTGGATGGCCGGACACCGTTCGCCAATGCGGCTCTCACAGGGAATGTGGGCATTGTGAAGTTTCTGTTGGAGCAGGGTGATGTGCTCAACCCTGAAGCGGCTGATAGATTCGGCCATACGCCCTTGATGCTTGCGGCGCGGGCTGGCGATGAGGATGTCGTCCGGGTTCTCCTCCGGGACCCTCGCGTGGATAGCAGCCGGAGGGATAAAGAGGGGCATTCTGCTCTGGTCCTTGCGGCGATACAGGGCTCTGCGGATCATCAAAGTGTGGCGAAGCTACTTTTAGGAAAAGTTCGATCGAGACAGGAGGTTGAAGAGGCCCTGGCAGCGACGCAGGACGCATGCATGCGTGCGCTTCTGAGTTCATACCTGCAGACGAAGTCTTGAGAGGGTCAACCAACGAGAGAGTTTAGATTAAGCGTCAGGCTTTCTTGCATTAGGAGTCCCGAGCGAGCTGATAACAGTCGTATAGAGTTCTATGTGACATGTGCTAACCGATTCATTTTCAGTCACGCTGTTCACGTCCACAGATAATCCTTCTGACGGTGGCCCTGAGGTCTTAACCATGTTGCCCCGGACCGCCCACCTCGGTGGTTCTCAGGTGGTTCTGCAGATAAACTCGCGTAGTCATTATTGTACACCTGACGGCCGTGCATTACGTTTGATAATGTGGTCAAAGAAGGAGGTGACTTATCGTCTCCCTAGGCCATGGTCAAAAGCAATCCCTATATGTACATAACACTTGTCGCTATAACATCACGTCCACCACAGATCTATGCATACCCTATCACAGCCACACCATTTCAGAAACCCTCTCCCATCCAGAAGAGCACAGCCCCTCAATAATATTCAGGCAAATTCCCGAAGCTGGGGATCGTATCGCCGCACTTGAACTTCGGACTGTACGCTTTCGCAGGCATGTAGCCGTTCTTCCAGGCGGTGCGGTAACTCCACTGCGCCGCCGACTCGGTAGCCCACGTCCAGTAGAACCAGCCCATGGCCGTCTCGAAGGCGGACATCTGCGCCTCCGCGTACGTCTGCAGGAAGGTCTTGTACCCATCGGAATAGCCCACCGGGGAAGTGTTGGCCAGGGTGCAGGAGCAGGTGCCCTCCGAGGCGGTGGGGCAGTACATCGTGTCGCCGGTGGAGGCGAGGGTGCCCTCCCACCGGTTGCCGTTGCCGACGTTGTTGACGTACTGCGCGCAGTCGGTGTCGGCCTGGGACCATTCGCCGCAGATGGTCGGGCCCCATCTGATTATCCGTCGCAATATTAGTTCTATTTCCATATCTCCAGGAGGGATAAAGGGTGAGGGGAACGTACCCGGTACTCGTAACATTAATCGCCTGGATCATACTATACCAGCTCTCGCAGATCAACTCCACGCGACGGGTATGGTTCAGCACGATCTCCCCCGTATTGAAGACGGTGTACTGATGCGTATCGAGCATCATATTGTCGGGCCGTGTCTTGAGCATGCTGTCCCACTTGGCCAGATTCAAGAACCCGTCGTGGACCGTCACCCACGCCTTGATCCCGTTCTTCTGGACGAGCTCCGTCGCCTGCGTGGTCCAGTTCAGCACATCCGCCACGGGCAGTGACAGCATGAGCGGCTCGTTGACCAGCCCGTAGATGGTGACGACGTTCTTGTACCGGTCCTGGGCGAAGAACTGCGACAGCTGGTCGTGCATGTCGAGCGAGCGCTGGCGGTTGAGGGCGCCGTCCGTCCCGTTCAACCACCCGATCTTGCCCTGATGGCCGCTGTGGTTCCACCCGTTCTGGCTGCCGGGGATCCCATGCGGGTCGAGATTCACGCGCAGTCCGTACTTGCGACAGTACTCGATCGCGCGCAGCAGGTACCGCCAGGCGATCTTGGGGACGTAGGGGTCGCCGTCGTAGGTGCGCACCGCCCAGTAGGAGAACTGCATGCGGACGTGGTCGAGCCCCGCGTCGCGGATGTCGATGAAGTCCTGCTCGGTGATGAAGGTGGCGTAGTGTTTTTCGATCGTGGTGTTGGCGTCACTGCCCAGGCGCTCGCAGAGGGTCCACTCGTCGATGATGCCTTCGCTCGAGGAGTAGGATTGGAAGAGCGAGGGAACGATGAAGGGCTCGATGGAGAGCCAGCCTCCGAGATTGACTCCGCGGATGGGCTGCGAGCCGTAGGGGAATGACTCGTTCAAGGGTGGGACGTTCTCGTTTGCTTGGGCGGAATCATCCCAGGTCGAATTCAATCCCATGATCGACAATCCTCCCACGGTCGCATTCGTGAACGTGACGTTGAAGCCCGTTGTATCGTACCAGGTGAACGGATCAAGGTATGTTCCTCGAGCGTAGGCCTACCACACACAAGTCAGCACCCGAGCCCAGGTCCTCCTTACAAGAAACCTACCGGAATGCTATCACGACTGATCCCGTCGAGGTTAGAATTCGCGGGCTTATCATCGTCCGAACTTGACGAACTCCCGCCATTGTCCGCCCTCCGCGCCATGATAATCCCCACGGGGATAGCAACCGCCGCCAGCACGAGCAGCACCACGAAGAAGATGAACGTGCCTCTCCACTTCTTCCAGAACGGAAGATTGGCCACACTGCCCCGGCCCGTGGACCTGGACCCACGACTCCTCTCATCCCAGTCCCCTTCCTTCCTGAGCATACCGTCTGTCGCCTCCGCCGCCTCGCCGTCTGCTCCATTCCCACCAGAGCCACCCCCGCGGTGCCGCACCTCCGCCATCCCCTGCTCCAACTGTGCTCCGGACGCAACCCTGCTCTGCGCCCCGGCCCTAGGCGTATCCACCGCGATGGGCGCCAGCATAATCGGCTGCTCAGCGATAACAGGACGCTTGCGCAGCCTCTGCCCGTGCCCGTGCTCCGATGCTTCGTCGCGCCCGTCGCGCGACCCTTCACCCAGATGACTCAAACAATCCTCATCCCCGACCGTGGAACCCAACAGCTTCGCCAACGCATCCCCACTGAGCAACTCCTGCGCCGCGCTGTCCCGGTCCGAGTTCCCATGTCTCCCAAACGCAGCGGCCAGCCGCTCCCGCCGTCGCTGGCGCCGAGTCTCCCGGTCCGGGCGCTGGCCGCCCGACGGGGAGGAGTTGCGTTTCCAGAACGCCAGCGACGAGGACGGGGCTCGCTCCCTTGGCTGGGACGGAATGCGCTGAGCACCCACATCCCCACCCGTCGCATCATCGTGCTCATCGCCACCATGATGGGCTATTGCCGCCGCGCGCTCGGACTCCGTGAAGGTCATCATCCCCGACAGGCCGCGGGAGCCGGCCTCGGCCTCGAATTGGTCTGCGGCGGGGACGTGCGGACGCAGCGGGATCCAGTTAGGGTTGGTCCCGTGCCCGGGGAATTGGTGCGGTTCATATGCGTAGGTTGACCCCGACAGGTGGTGGTCTGCATTGTCGGGGTGGTCGTAATCGTGATGGTCGTGGTCGAGGGAATAGGAATGGTCGTCAAATTCATGGGGACTGTAATCGTAACGTTGTGGGGAGTGGCGCGGTGCCTCCGAGTGGACATCGGAGGGAAGGCTGGGACTTAGGCTGGAGACGTAGCTGTCTTCTCCCCGGTAGCCCAGGCGCGGGGGCGGGGATAGGGTGTAGTAGCTCGGGGTGGTGGAGTCGGGAGCCTCCGGCAGCTCGCGGCTGGGGCTGCTGGACCGGCGGGACAGGCGATCCCGGCTGCCCGAGTGGAGAGACATCCGCACTGAGCACGGACTTTTTGTGGTATTGTCGGTCTGTTTCGGGGAATGGACACCTTTGTGGAAAAGCCAAGGGAATGCTGGGGGTGACTGTCGGGTGTGGCGGCGGATCTGGATGGAATGTGGGCTGACCGGTGGGAATGTCCCGACAATTAGGGGGGAGGGGGAGTGGAGTGATAGGTCCGGATCGCCCGGCTGATTGTAGGGGGATTATATTGAACCTGGAAGTGGAATGGGGATTTGTGGAAGAAGGAGTGCCCTGTCAGCCCCAACGTATAGGATATTGTGGATGGATAGTTGCGAGGTACCACGGGTCACAGCTGACACTGTCTCAGTATCGTCGGTGACACAAACAACAACAAAATTCCAACGAGATACAAGGACTACTAGGTAGTACTCAAGGCATGTCAATTGAAGGTAAGCTCCAGCCAGGGACAGGATTGGACGGGATCGCCAGGAACCGCACGGTGATTGTGAGGAAAGAAAGTTGGGGGCGTCCGGCCATCAACACAACAACCAGAAAAACAACACATCGACCAAAACAAACCGGCGCAAGACAAGCCCCGTGATTGGTCCAGCAGCCATCCTTGTGTTTATGCTGCTAGATCGGGTTAGCGCGGAGATAGCGGAATTGACCTTTCTGCATCAGGTTAGTCTGTGCTCACACCTGTGGCTGATCATCTTCCTGAATCACGGGACCCAGTCATCATCGTGGCTTGAGTTCTATGAATTACATCATGTCCGAAACTTGCGCGTGTATAAATCTGGTCTAGATTACAGTGATGTTACATTAACCTCTGAAACCTATGTCTTTATCCCGTTTCAGCCGAGTCCAGCCCCAGTGGGTTTAGCGCTCAGGCCTTGGTGTAGCGCAGGTACGGCTTCAGCTCCCGCACGTTGCCGAACTTCTTCTTGGCGTCCTCCGTCGACACCGAGGGGGGCACAATCACATCGTCGCCCACGTTCCAGTCAATCGGGGTCGCGATACCCTTCTTGTCCGCCGTCTGCAGCGAGTCGATCACGCGCAGCACCTCCGCCGAGTTGCGGCCCGTCGACGCTGGGTACGACATGATCAGCCGGATGGTCTTGGCCGGGTCGATGATGAAGACCGACCGGATCGTGAACGGGATCCCCTTCTCGGCGATGTTGTCCAGGTCGCGCTGGTCGATCATGTCGTACAGGAAGGCCACCTTACGGTCAGCGTCGGCGATCACGGGGAACTGCACCTGGGTGTTGGCCACCTCGTTGATGTCGTCGATCCACTGGTCGTGGGAGCTGAGGTCGTTGGCGCTCTAGAGAGTGAGGTGGATGGTTAGCGTGGTCATTTTAATGGTCATAGTGAGAAAAGACGGGGGTGGTAACGCACCAGGCCAATCATCTTGACATCTCTCTTCTCAAAGTCGTCCTTCATCTTGGCGAAGGCGCCCAGCTCGGTGGTACACACGGGGGTGAAGTCGGCCGGGTGCGAGAACAGGATGGCCCAGCTATTGCCGATGAACTCGTGGAAGTCGAGCTCGCCATGGGTGGTCTGCGCCTTGAAATTGGGGGCTGCGGTGGGTCAGAGTAAGTCAATTGAAACAGCTCATGGCGAGATGGTTATTTACCCTTCGATCCGAGGCGAAGACGGGGTTGCTCCTGGGGAATGGTGGTGAGGAAGCGGCGGGGGAGGGGTTGCACGCGGGGCTGCATGCGAGGGAGCTGGCTAGACAGCGACAGACGAGGGAGAGGGGTGGCCCGGGGAAGAGCCGTGAGAGCACGGAAGCTAGTGCGGGAGATGATGGACGCCATTGTGATGTGGATTGAAGCAATTGGCAATCGTGAGAAGAAGGTGAAGAAGTTTGACTGAGCTCCAGCGATCCTGTTTTCGTCACTCGCCCATTGCATCAGCGCCGGCGGGGATATGCACTAGCCCGTTTTGGATACTCTTGCCTGAGGCATCACGAGACTCGCTGCCTCGGGCACCAACTTGCGTACGTCGCAGCCTTTTCTTGAGTTAATGCAGTCATGAATAGGGTGCTCCCTCTCATCGTACGGATGTCGCCTAAATGATCATAATGGCAGTCACCCAAGTTGATCATCCATCCGATACGCAGTGCCAGTCTTGGCATGAACTTGGTCGTACAGTGCGGATACCCAGAAGCCCAGACTCCTACATTTTTCCCCTGGAGCAATAATGCTATCGTGGATCATCTATGAAATACCTTTCATCGCGGATACTGCCACTTATAATCAGGGCTACTCCACACGTTATTGGTCAATTTTTTGACCTGTCGCCATGTGTTCGTGGACGGAGCGGGGTATTTGATGTGCCAAGAATACCATCGTAATCGATAAGCGCCCTTCTCTCAGGGCTATGCCGCGGCTGAGTGACAGGTTCGAGTATATTTAGTCTGGAAGCTATTTCTGGCCAATAGATGGCTCAATTCGGGGCGATTGCACAATCTGGATCTCATGAATGGTAAGCACTAAGTTGGCCTGCATCCACCAGGGCGTCTATCTGGAATGTCCATCACAATCGCTTTGGCACCATATATAATCACAGCGCTATCACCATGGGATCTGACATCAACCTCCATGATGCCTTCTTCCTCCGATCCTTGCCACATTCTGTCATCTTGCTTGCTTTGTCCTGCACTGTCAGTCGAGCACCGAAACAAACACATTAGAAAGGTTCAGTGACCACCAAGGCGACACACGAGGTGAAAACAGAACATGGAGAGCGCTACAGGCGATGACGGAACCACGGTCGCGACAAGAACATCGACACCCGTCTCCATTCCCGGATACTCGGGGGCATACAATAGGGGGCCTTACACAGACACATTCTCCCCTCCGATAACATGCCGTCAATCAGCGACCATGTATACGGCCGACGACGGCGCAGGAGCAGCAGCGGGAACAATTTATTACGGACACTGGTGGTCAGGGGACATGGCCTGCTATCCCACAGGCACCATTCCAGCCACCTCGTACACACATTTTCAGTTTTGGTACTCATATTACTGTCAGTATGCTCATTATACTTAGAGTTGTGTTGCCTAACCACTGACCGCCATATTGAATAGACAGCCCTGGCTACTACTGTCCGAGTAGTTGGCACACGGCAGCGACCTTAGCCGATGGCTGGGCAGGCGAGATACTCACCGGGAGTCGTAATGGCGTCCTGTGTTGCCCCAGGTAAGCAGAAGCCTGCTCAATGGTTCATCAAATCGTGCGACCTAGTCATTCTAATCTTTCCTCGTCTCCCCCGTCTCAGCGGTCTCACCCTCTACAATAATTGGACGCATGCGTGCGCGACATCCGTCTCTCCAGGAGACGTCATCACCCTGGTGACCAACTTTGTCGCACTTGAAACCACAATATCCTCCTCATCGGTTCTGTTTCAAGATGGAATCCCGCTCATCCGCGACGAAATCATCACAGCCAACAACAACCCGTCGACCACTATCACCCCGGCCCCAACGCTGTCTCCCACGACCCCTCAAGCGACAGGCGGCACGGCCACGCAAGTTCCGACGCAGGCCACAGCACAAGCAACAAAGAATACTTCGGCTGGTCTCTCGACAGTTGCCAAAGTGGGGATCGGAGTGGGCGTAACGCTCGGGGTGGTCATTCTCGCCGTGGCGGGATTATTCTGTTTCATCTGCTCTCGACGGCGCAGAAGACAACCTCTGCGGCACGGTCCATCCTCAAATCAGCCAGCGTTTGTCCAGGAGCTTCCCTCAAAATCATATCAGAGACCTGTCGAGCTGTCTGCGCGTCCGTATGTGAGCGAGCTCGAAACCCGAGCTCATGCGAGTGAGTTGCCAGGGTAGTCTCTGAGTCTGATTCATCTGAGCCAGAATCCTGTGCAGTTTGACGCATCTTTCCAAATAGACCTCCGAGCAAGATGCACATGATACCATTTATGTTGCCTTACATAATATATGACTATTTTGATTGACCTCACGCAAGATAACACCAGACCATAACTCCAAATTTGTAAATGGTAACGGGGTCCTTGAATGGCGCCATGCTCGCACAACTACAATTCAGGTGAGTGTGCCTTCCTAACTTTGCACGATATCGGTGAACTAGGTCTGGCTAGGATAGCATCGGAATTGGTGTGCTCGGGCTATGATATAGCGTTGACAGCAATACCCCGGGCGCTTAACCCAGCCTTAGGCATCTGCGGGAGACAACGTCCGAGCGCACTTCGGATCCGTCTTCCCACAGCACTCTAGAAATTAGCGGTCAACATTTTCCTTTGGTCTATCTTTGGAAGTTTGTGTACTATTTATGGTTTGCCATGTGATTATGTGACCAAAGCTGAGGATATGGATCAGTGCTAAGGTCGCCGTTATACCTCTTGACCTCTCTCGCATCAACACACAATAAACATGTTTTAGACAGCCACGAAGCTCTAGGCGGGGAGACAAATCAAATAACCACTAAGAAGATCTCCTCACTTTCCGGCAGCGAACCCACACTCTGCATACTAGGTTGTGCCTATCTAACTAAGCTCCAGTATATATACTTGGGGCACAAGCCATCGCCAAGCTAGCCTCACCAATTACTTGGATATCTGTTTTGTTGACGCCTTGGGCACCGAGACTGGCAGCCGCTTATCATCACCGGGGGAAGCTTATCAACATTGGGACTCCCCGCCACTATTCCATGAAATTCCTCTCTGGTCTTATTGTACTAGCGAGATGAGAACGATTTGTGCCATCATGTCCCGGTGTTGTCCATCTGTCTCTACATTGAATGCGGTAACCCATAAGTTCATCCGTGAATCGGTAGCTTGGCCTTCTCAACCCCAGTGACCCATCAGCCTAGCCCTAACTCGGTAAAATTATCTGATCTTTCGTACGATTCTTGCCGGACGTTCGTCGCGACAGGATAATATTGGTCACATGCCGAGCTCACTGTAGCAAATAGATCTGAATTACGCAAACCATAAGTTCATAGTCCCAACATGCCAGGAAGGAGAATAACTATCTACCAAGAGCAATCAAACACGAACAGACAAGCAAATTATCACCGGGACGACAACATTGTGTCTGTTCGACAGCTGACACGTACTTTCCACAAGGATGATGGCATGAAACACCGAGAGTAGGAAAGTGAGGCGAGCTGGGCCAGCATAAGTGCAGGATCGTTAGGCTCATAGATAGACAATGCAGTATGCCTCTTCCGTGCTCGGGAACAGCTCCTTTGCAGTACATGATTTTTATATTCGTCAACATAAAGATGCTGATACGTATTCCACAGTATGCAGACAGCCACATACCGTCGGCCCCCAACTCAACTATACCCCGCACCGACACCTACGGCCTCAACACAGGCACCCCTTTCTCCGTCTATCCAGACCACGATGCCGCGACTGTGAAGAGTCTGAAAATCTGGGAGGGCCGCGCGAGCGGCGACTCAGCGGGATTATGGGTTGTCAAGGGTTTGCGGGTCACCTGGTTCAACGACGAGCGCAAACCGCGCTACGACCACCCACAGGACGGGGACCAGCTCAAGATCCTGACATTCGCGACCGACGAAATGATGATGGAATGTAGTATCCGGGCAGCGTGGCGCGTGGCTGAGATTGAGATCGTCACTAGCCGGGGCCAGCACTTGGTGGCGGGCGGGGAGGGAGGCACGCCTTACAGGAACGTGGCGAGAGGGTCGCTGGTGGGCTTTACGGGGAGTGCGGGGTGGGAGGTTGATAGTATTTCTGTCTTGTATCGATAAGGATGGGGTTCTAGGGCTGTTCCGGGTGAACCTATTGTTGAATGCTTGGAACCAGTGATGAAGCTGCTTACGCAGGCAGGGCTACTAGGGATATAGGCGCTTTCGAGTGGACTTACTGTACTTCTGTCTGGACCCCGATAATTGTGCCGCATGATTCATGAGTGATACAATCTCGATTGAACACCCAAAAGTATAGCAGGAAATGCTCACAGCACATTCTTCGCCACAAAATCACAACGAAGCAGCAATCAACCTCTTATACCCCTCGACCGCATCCTCCAACTCCCGCACGGTGATCGCCTCCTTCTCCCCATGCGTGACCTCGAACCTGCCCGGCCCATACAAATACCGCTTCACCTTCCGTGTGGCCCCGTGGTCATGAATCTCCAACGAGAACGCATCCGTCCCATAATTCACCGCAATGACCTCGAACCCCTCGACACCCGTCTCGAAAAACTGCGGTGGTGCCCCGACCGTCCCATTTCCACTCCCACCGCCAAAGTCCAGAAACACGTTTCCATCCCCACCCGTCAACTCATCCACAGCAGTCTGAATAATCCGCCTGGTCTCCTCCGGGCTCCCCGCCGCCAACCGCACCGAGACCGTGGCCTCAGCATGCGCCGGTACAACATTGGCCGCCTCGCCTCCGCTGATAGTCCCGATATTCAAGGTGGAGTTACCCAGCACTTCACCCCACAGTAACCCCCCTTCCTCCGGGGCAATATACTGCAGGGAGTTTATGTGTTCGAGGACAGGCAAGATGGAGAGGATGGCACTCTGCCCGAGCCAGGGATAACTCGAGTGCGCGGGCTTCCCCCGCGCGACGACCTTGAACCCCAGCGTGCCCTTGTGGCCTTTCACGAGATCTCCATTCGTGGGCTCGCCGAAGATGACGGTGTGGAAGCTCGACGGCGTGGGGTTGAGCTCCGAGGCGGAGAAGTGCTTCATCCCCACGCCCGACTTCTCCTCGCCGACATCCAGTAAAATGCCTACGGATGCCGTCGGGTCTGTGGCGAGAGTGTCGAGGACGGCGAAGACTAGGGCTGCGACGCTGGCCTTTGCGTCTACGGTGCCGCGGCCGGCGATGAGGAGGTCCTTTCGGTCGAATTTCCCGGTATGCGGGCTCGGGGCTGGGGGGTGAAGGGAGTAAGGGATGAAGGGGGGCACGGTGTCGATGTGGCTTGTTAACAGGATCTCGGGGAAGCGGTTGTCCCCTGCGTAGGCGTAGATGTTGAAGCGCTCCTTGGTGGCATCCGTCTTTGGGGTTACGACCTGCTTCTCGACGGTGAGGTTGTGGGAGGAAAGGAAGTCGATGATGAAGTCGCCGACTTCTTGCTCGTTTTCAGAGATGGATTCGATGGTCACGATATCGCGGTGAAAGGCGAGGAGAGGCGAGGAGGTGATTATTTGGTCGAGTGCGGACTCGGTGCTGGGACTGACTATTGCATTGTGGGAGAGGGGGTCGGCGAGTGGTTGCTGTATTGAAGCGAGAGCCAGCCTCGCTAGGGCCGCGATGTTGATAATCTCGATTGTCTTCATTGGGGCGTTGATCTTCAATAATGTCACCCCGGGAGGATATCTAATCTTGAGGTGGTAGGGTGTATATCAATTCTCAGGCTTCGGTGAGTCCGTGAGGGGAAACCGATGAATGTAGATTAGGGCATTTCTCCCCGCAATGGCGTGCCTTATCAACATCCGCCACCATGCTTAGTTGGTTCGAGATAGAACCACACCTGTTGCATTCCTTATCTACACAGAACCTCAACCATTTCCACATCATAGGCCGATCCGTTAATCTCGCTAGAGAGATGCCAAGCCATTCCCCTCACCGGAAGTCAATATCCTCCAGCACCGCCTGATTCTCCTTCGCCGCCGCCCGCCGAACCCTCTTCAACCTCCTCGTATCGACATCCACCTTCCACGTACGCCCCCAGGTAATCAGATTCATAATGATCGCCATCCCCACGAATCCCATGGCAATACCGAACGAGGTGGTATAGCGTGGCGCATACCGAGAATTGAACAACTGCGATCCCACTGCGCCTCCGATCTGCCCGTAACTGTTGGCGAAGGCAATCGCAAACGCCGAGCCGGTGGCCCCCTGCGTCGTCTGGACTCGCCATGGCCACATCATCACGTACCTGCAGCTACCATCAGCGACTGGCAAAGAATTTCGGAAGGAGCGTGCTTACCAAGCGGTGGAAAATCCGCCCGCGATGATCGTAGCGGCATAGACACCCCCGCTGTTCGGAAATGCATAGAGCACGCCATAGCACGCCTCGATGACTATCATGAAGGCGAGCGGGATGGCCGGTTGCGGGATCCTTCCGGTGTCGGCGAAGACCCCGAACGCTAGGGTCAGGATCACCGCGAACACGGCAGAGGGGATGTTGAGGAGGAGGGATTCGCCCATCGAGCTTGAAAATTGGTCAGCACTTGGGTTCGAAATCTAACTCTGGGGTTTACTCACGTAAAGCCGAGATTAGCAATCACAGTGGGCTGATAGAATGTGAGACCGGTGGTTCCGACGGTGAAGAATGCCCAACAGAGCAGGAATAGCCAGATTCTCTCGTTTCGCAGCGTGTTAATCAGCTCGCGCAGGTTGAAGTTGGATTCTTGCGCTCGAGGAGAGTTGCGGGGGAGACGAGCTTGGATGAAGGCTTGTTCCGTTTCGGAGAGCCAGGATGATGTAGAGGGAACTGATGGAGTCAGTCGGCGGTGTCAGGGTTGATATGAATGAGAATGCATACAATCTGGCAGGAAGACATATGTGAGAACACCCAGAACGATTGTGATGATCCCTTCTGTCAGAATCAACCTAGCCGCAAGGTTAGCTTCGAGGACATCGATCCAGGCATGGATCTGCAGGACGCACCATTTCCACCCCGACAACCCCCCGGTCGTCACACCGTTGAACGCAAAGGCAAGCACACCACTGATGACCGTGCTGAAATTCCCAAGCAGCGTAACCAGCACAATCCGGGGAGCTATCTCATCAGGTCGATACCAGTAACACAACTGGACCAGCATCCCCGGCCAAAGACCGGCTTCGAATAGACCCAAGAAGAAGCGGACAGCATACAGGCCCTGCCGATTCCTGACTGCTGCGTGGCAACAGAGAACGGTTCCCCATGAGACCTGGTTATATTAGACGTAAGACATATCTGGTGAGCCAATGACGTTTACCTGAATCCGAGCTTGCCAGACGGAGGGCCTGACCCCCTTGATCAGTAGATTGGACGGCGCTTCGGCAATAATGTAGGGAATCTTGACACACATCAGTCTGCATCGCAGCTATCTACGACAAAGGTGAACTCACATAATACATTGCTGTCACCAGATTATACTGATCCTTCGTCATTCCTAGCTCAGTCAAGATGTTGTGAGGGGTTCCTTTGTCCATGGTGAGTGCGTAAGAGACCTAAAACAGCTCTCGTCAGAGAACTATCCTCATAATCGCCCTTAGCATGGAAGGTCTCACGTTTGTGAAGTCGACACTTTTCAGCAT